TTCAATACATTTTCCATGTGCCATTCCACATTATTACAAATGACTTCATTTCTGGACATTTATGGTTTGATTTCTTTGTTTGTATGGATCACTTGGGTTGTTACCAACATCTGGTGAAAATTTCATGTCATTAGCACCTCTAGTAATATATTTACTGAGAACAATGGTGACGTGTTCAATACTTATTTTACCCGCTGTATCTTATAAATTGTGCAAGAAAATTTGAAGCAGAAGCATTTGAGCACAATAAAGGAATGAAGGAATGTGAAGAGACGCAAGCAGCAGCAAGTTTGGTCTAAAGCTAAACAAATGTCTCAACAAATCATCACAGTATTAATCCCTATCTGTGATTTGAATGAATGGAAGATCGGTTCATTTAAGAAAACTACTGATTCTATAGCATTATGTTTGGTCAAGGTTTTTGACGATTATTCAGAAAGTGTTCATGTTTTGATAGAAAGCTTAKTGGTTTTGCTTCTCTTTGTTTAGATCAGTATTCAGAATTTGAGGTTAACAGATTGTGTAGACTACTGCGAGTTTAAAAATGACAAGTTAATAATAAAACATATTTGTTATGTTCTGCCAATTTCAGTGGAAAATACAATTTAAAATACCTTTATTGCTTGCCTTGCTAGGGTCCTTGTAGCAATAAATTCACATTCTAGTCATACACAGCAGGTAATATAAAACAGAAAATATCCCAAATTGTTTTGCAGTAATAAATGCTSCTTTACCCACAAGCTGTGAAGTCAGATCAAATATTCAGTGTTTTTATTTTTTGTTTGAAATGTTCCATAAATTCCACAAGATACAATCAAAATATCTTAACATCCCTTTAAGGTTATTTATCTGTTTACTGTAATTGAGCTACAAATATTCCCAGACTCTGAAAGTCAAAACCTTTTATCTTAACTACAGTATAGGTATTGTGTCATGAACATTTTTGATTTCCACTAAATACAGTAAACTGTTAGACATTTCTACCTGATTGTCTTAGTTGGAATAAAACATGTTTACTTGTGCTCCTCGTGTAGGCTTGTGTGCAAACTCAGTGAACAAATCCCAAACCATGACCTGAACATCACTCTGGAAGTGCACGAGGGGGAAGTGAAGGGTCCCTACTCAATTGAAGGCACTGCTCAGAYGTTTGGCTTCTCTTTTGTGGTGAGAATGGCAGCTATTGGACTGTTTTTTTTCTGTGAAATGCTTATTTATGAAAACTGATACCAACTGTATGATGATGTGCCATTATTCAGGAGCCTAGCATAACAGACATCCAGCCTGACTTTGGWCCCATGTTTGGAGGAACAACAGTCACACTAACAGGAAAATATCTTAACTCTGGGATAAAAAGAGACATCTTTGTTGGAGGCGGGGTTTGCACAAATCCAAAGTGAGCCATCGCTATTTTTTCAATGACAGATAATATCTCAACAACTTTAGATTTGCATTGTAATTAATCTAAGAGTTGAGATTAAATGTCATAATGTTCCCCTGGTTTATTTCTCTTTCAGTGTTCTTGAAGAAACAGGGGTTTTGTCTTCAGTCATCTGTAACACAGCAGCTGTGGAAAGTGTTGGTGAAGTACCAGTGGAAGTGGTCATTGATGGTCACAACGTTACCACYGATAAGACATTCTTCTACAAGATGAACCCTGTCGTAACTTCTGTTGATCCCCTCTGTAGTTTCCGAAGGTGGGACGCTGACTTATTACTCTGTTTTAAATCTACTTCTAAGTTTATTATTCGAATGGAAGTGTTTACTAATAGAATTATCACTGAGTTATTGGTATTTTTAACCCTGACACTTATATTGTCACACAGAGGCTCCAAGCTGGTGATAGAGGGTCAGAATCTTGACTCGGCTCACAATRTTGTGGTTCAATACACTCCCAAAAATGCCCTGACAACGTATCAGCGAGTAAGTCAGCCCTTGAATGTTTAAATGATTTAATTTAAGTAGCATTTGCAATCTACTCAAAGTGATTTGTATGCAGTTTCAAACAGGATGTTATGTGTTTATCCTTCTTGAGGTCTGCAACGGCTCAAGAAATGCCACACGCATGGAGTGCTGGACCCCAGCCATTCCAKGGGATGAGCCTGAGGAAAAAGTTGACACGGGGACCATTTCTCTTCAAATGGACGGACAACCTGACCTCTTGACAAAACGTTTCGACTACCACCCAGATGCCGACGTTATCCCCTTTGAGGCTGAGGACAACATTTTTCACCTGAAACCAGAAGGAACTGAGGTGTCTCTGCATGTAAGACAGTTGGATCTAGCTGAATATTAGTTCATGCATTTTTTTAAAGCATCACGTGTCACTTGTGCATTAACGTTTCGTTTTTTTCCCCTACATACGTAACAGCATAACAAACTTCAATCTGTGAGTAAATGCATGAACATAAAAATGAGCATTGGCGGTGAATTCTGCAAACTTCAGGTTCTGTTAAATGAACTGACCTGCAGGATTCCTAAAGGCATGGTTATCCCCATTGAGGGATTACCTGTCAAAGTAAGATAATCTACTTTTAAATCATCATTTCGAAACKAAAATAACTCATAACAAATTAGATGCGTTCGATGAGAAGAATAAATCTGTTTCCCTCACCACTGTAGGTGTCTGTGAACAGAGAAGAATACGATGTGGGCACTGTCGTTCCTATCAAAACCAACCACGCCACTGTGATTGYAGGCATTGTTCTGGGCATTCTCGCTGCACTGGTAGTAGGAGCTGGCCTTGCATTAATTGTGATGAAGCATTTGAGGAAAAAACAAAGAGGTCAGAACGACTCCTTTTGCATTTGTGAAGTTGTCACCACCCCCACCCTGCTGTGATTTTCATTTATCAAATCTGTCCTTTCAGCAAACATAGAGAACCGTTTATCTGCGACACTGTCTCGGAGCCTCGTGTCCAGTTATTTGACCACGAACGGCAGACAAGGTGAGGCATCCAGATTCATCAAATCTAGAATATATTGATAATGAATTCACAACATTGCAAAGATGTCATTCTTGATGGGAAAATTATTCAATCGAAATGTTTTTGAAGCCAAAAGTATATATAGGTATATTAGGGGTGCAACAATACATGTACCCGTTTCGAACCGTTCAATAGAGAGCTTTAGGTTCAGTACACACTTGTATCGAACAATACAGATTTTTTAATTTTATTTTATCAACTTGTCTTCTGAAGATGCTCTGTGTTGAAGGATCAGTGGATCTGTGTTTGACTACTCCACCTAGACTGCATTGCCAAGCACTGATCCACTGAGAAACTTGCTGTTTCTGCAACATTAAATTTAAAAACTGTACTTTTGAGGTTTTTTTTGCCATTTCAGTGGAAAACAAAACTGAGTGTTAGTTTCTTAATTTCTGCATCATCAGTGGCTTTTTTGTACTTTTGAGGTTAAACAAAAGATCATAATTAATTTCAATAAATTACAAGTTAAAAAGGGCATGGAAATATCTCTTTTTTGTATCGAAAAATATTGAACCGAACCAAATCGTGAGCTTTCTGCATCGTTGCACCCCTAAATTAGGGCTTCTGTCACAATAATAAATTTCTTAAATTGTGACAGAACAGTAGTAGACACAATTATAAAGATGTGAAATTCTCAAACAACATTAATTAGTTTAACTGTATAAAAAAGAGCAACATGAAGAAAAAGCACCACTCCTTTAAAAGAAAACATCTGCAAAATAAGTCATCCAACAAAATTAATTTTTTTTGTTTTAATTTAGTTTTCTCAAAATGACAAAATCCTCAACTATTTTCATAATACAAAGACATCTACATTACGTTACACAGAACCACTATGCTGTTCATCTAAGTGTATTGTTTTCCTTTTTGCACCAGTGCATCTGTCCAACCAAACATCAGGCTCAGGAGGAATTGCCTTCCAAGGTTTATTATATTCTGCCAGCTATGATCATCTAGATGTTCCTTTAATGCCAGGTGAAAATATCTCAATGATGAGCTTAAGTTCTGATCTGCTTGACGAAGTTAAAGATGTGCTGATTCCTGCGGACATGCTCAGAATCGAGGAGAACCAGGTTATTGGAAAAGGCAAGTCTCTTATTCTTTGCTTGCATTTTTGCTTTTGTGCCTCAAAATATGTAAATATTTATATGCCATTTTATTCAACCGTATTTTTTATTCTCATACAGGTCATTTTGGCATAGTTTACCATGGATACCTAATAGATAGCAACAAGCAGGAGACTCACTGTGCTGTCAAGTCATTAAACAGTAAGTGCTTATAAAGGAAATTATCTTTAGAGCTTAGTTAATGCATGCACTGTAGTTATGAAGAGATTAAAATATGTGGTAAAAAAAAAAAAACAAGGGAAAAAAACTAAAGAACATAAACATCTTCTGTATTCATTCCAAAATACTTGTGGACGTTTTCAAATCCTCTCCCTCGTAAAATCTCAGAGTTAATGTAGAACTTGTCAAGCATTTCCCTGGCATTTTATTATTATATTTTTTACGTCTCCATAATTCTGTGGGTCAGTAAGTGCTGCTGCTTTCTACACTGTTTTTGTATACATATATGTAGTATTGATATTAGCACAGAAACATCATTTCGTCATTTCACAGCTTCATCTAACCTTTTCTGTGAAGAAACCCTGTCTGTTTTCAAGCCTGTTGTTTAGAATCACATCTGCCTGGACATTGTTTGTGACTATAACAGCTCACATAAAATTCTCCACACTTTTTGTCTCCTAAACATTTCCAAAAATGGTTACTTTGAGCCTGTCGACATGCTTTCTAAACGAATATGTGCTTTCTTGAACAGGAATCACAGATTTGGGTGAAGTGGACCAATTCCTCAGAGAGGGCATCATCATGAAAGAATTCCACCACCCCAACATACTGTCACTGCTGGGTATCATGCTGCCCAAAGAAGGGCTCCCTCTGGTGGTTCTGCCTTACATGCAGCACGGAGATGTGCGTCATTTCATCCGCTCCGAGCAGAGGGTAGGTCAAACATTAAAAASTGGCATTGTTTGGTCCAGGTGGCTTAGATTTTCATGGAGGTAGCCYACCTAGGAAATAGCTGTCTTTGATTACCAGCTGTCTGTCCTTCACAGAACCCAACAGTGAAGGACCTGATTGGGTTTGGGCTTCAGGTTGCAGAGGGAATGGAGTACTTAGCTCAAAAGAAGTTTGTTCATAGAGACCTGGCTGCACGGAACTGCATGTGAGTGTGAATAAAACACTGATTACTGGCCTCTGGCATGTCAAGGAATGGCTTTTTAAATTATGTTGTGGGGTTTAAAGCACACARATGCAGACACATAAGAAGCTGTAAGTAGGCGTGGCATGAAATCCTAAACAATGTATATTAATGCTAAAAGTAAAACAGACAAAGAAGAAGCAAGGCTGAAATTTATACATTTATACATATTTTTAATTATGTTGTATAAAGTACCTCAAAGTGATACTTGATTTTAAGAACAAGTATCTTACCATAAAAATACTCTGGTAAAAGTTAAAGTCTTCTCTAAAAAAATTACTTGAGTAAAAGTCTTAAAGTATCTGATATTTTTTGTACTTATCAAAAGTAAATTTCTGACACAAAATCGATTTAAATATTAAAAGTAAAAGTACAGAGTAAAACTGAGCCGTTAGATTTTCCAAAATGACATTTATTGGGAGGTGACTTCTCCAAAAAAATTTTTTTCTAACAGCGTGCAGCTGTGATGGGTTGTGTACAAGCTAATATGGTATCAGAATGGTTTTAAATTTATACTTCTCATTCAACCACAATTAAATTCACTCTATCTAGGAGACACAATTTATCAGGATAGTATTTTTTGAAGTAATAACAACTCAGAATAAAATAGGAGTAATGACTTTCTACTTCTTACCTTTTTATAAAATTTATTGAGTAGAAAGTACAGAAAATTGTGTAAAAATGTAATGAGTAAAAGTAAAAAGTACGCTGAAAAATAATTACTCAAGTAAAGTACAGATAACCAAAATTTCTACTTAAGTACAATAACAAAGTATTTGTACTTACTGGTAGTTACTTTACAACTCTGATTTTTATTTGTGCAGCCCTAAGAAGACAAAAAAGTTAGATTTTATAGATGTGTGCTACATAAAAAGCATATATACAGTAGATGCTTTGGGAAAACATTTTTTTCTTGTATAATTAGTGTTAAATTTGTGTTTTAGGTTTCAGAACCTTTGATTTTAAGACAAATCATCTGGCTAAGAGAGAATATCCTTTGTTTTTATGCATTTTAGGCTGGATGAAACCTTCACAGTGAAGGTAGCTGACTTTGGCATGGCCAGGGACATCTACGACAAGGAGTACTACAGCATCCAGAATCACAAAAGGGTGAAACTGCCGGTGAAGTGGATGGCCATAGAAAGCCTGCAGACGCAGAAGTTCACGACCAAGTCTGACGTGGTGAGTGTGTTCATAATACACGGGAACATTTTCAGTTTTATTTCTATCTGTTGTATAACACAAACGTGTTTGTTGCTCAGTGGTCATATGGCGTGTTGCTGTGGGAGCTGATGACCAGAGGAGCCAACCCATACCCAAACGTGGACCCCTACGACATCACATACTATTTGTTGAAGGGGCGTCGGCTTCCACAGCCACAGTACTGCCCAGATACTCTGTAAGTTTTTATCATTCAGTTGTTTACTAGCCTGCTCGAAAATTTCCAGTTTTTTTTTTCCTATTTAATGATTTTATAATAATATTCCTACAGTTACGCAGTTATGTTAGCCTGCTGGAACCCAGAGCCCGAGTGCAGACCCAGCTTCAACAGACTGGTCACAGAAGTAGACTACATCCTGTCCTTCCTGGAAGGAGAGCACTACATCAATCTGAAGGTTAACTACATCAACTTAGATCAGCCGAGGCCGTACCCCTCCATGACGGGCTCTGCAAACGAGGCAGAGGCCTCGGACGTGGACTCAGACGGTTACGCAGCAAACTTTGACTTTGGAGCTGAATAAAAAAAAAATTAAAAATCAACAGAAAGAACATTTCTGATTTGATAAAAGCACATGGAAGGTTTCACTACTGATTAAACACTGCAGACACTGTAAGCTCTGACTGGAGATTAGAGGATACAGAATCTTTATCGATCCCAGTTCCTTTAAAGCAGGAGTCAGTAAGAGGTGTTTTGTTTTCTTCTAACGCACCGGTATAACTGAGACAAAATGAATGTATGAGGATTTTGTTCTTGTTTATGTGTGTTTTGGGCTATAAAAACACAAGCACATTATCGAAAAATCTACCCGTTAAACTGACTGCTGATGTTTTTTTTAATCTAATATGTTATTTTATACATGGATTTATCATCAATTACATTTAAAAATAGTCTCACAAAATAACACCAGGATGCTGAGTAACTAAATCTGCAACTTTTGAACTATGCGGGTTGTGTTGTGCTCAACGTCTCACCAGTAGAGGGCAACCAAAGCCTCGGTCTAAGTAAATATTGGAGCTGCAGTGAAGGTTTGCAGTGCAGTTGGCCTAGAGAGAAATCTCTAAACAAAGGTGTTGCACAAAAGGTACATAGACTTATCTGAACCCGAGACTGTGCTCCCCTGTGAAACTGTAACAAAACCCAGCTTTCAAATGAATTCAGACAACACACAGTATGATGCATTCTGGGTAGATTCATTGTTGCTTAAAAAAACATGTGCACCACCTTTAAAAAACTAAAGTAATTCAGAATGAGAGCACTGACTGATTATGGCTGGTTAGCTCAGTTGTTCAGAGCATGGTGCTAAAACACCGTGGTGTGTATGATCCCTAACAGGCAATTTGTTGCATTTTGAATTTTTATTTTGTTGTATTTAACTGCTTTACTCTCATTGCAATACAGTTTAACCAAAGCAACAAACAGATAAACTTTCAACCTGATTAGTTCTGAATATGTGTCGAGTGACATAGCTGTTTTGTTTTGTTTATTTTTAACAAATTGATCTTATTTTTATGTCTTTTCATTTGATTGCACTGAGTCTTTTATAAGTAAATACTTGATACCAAATACATGTCTCCTAAAAAGATGTGTCCCTGTTTCTTAATAAATGTTAAGAAAAAAAACTCCTTTCTGGAAATTTTTTTTATAAAAAAAACTGGATGATCCAAACAAAAATGGGGTAAAAAAATCCATTAGCATAAAAAACTCTACAAGCAACAGTACAAAAGTTCTTCATGAAAGTAGATCATCAAAGCTAAAGGTGAAATTGATGCTGAGGGTAATGACACCGGTGTGAGGCAGCAGCGCTTTTGTTCTGTTATGTAGATGAGAGGAAAAACACACTCCCTTATATCACCCCCATCAGAGGAAAAAAAAAACAACAACAACCTGCATTCACCTAATCTGTGTGTATCTACCGTTTAAAATATTCTCTATGAATAATTTATGGATCTAAAAAAAGATTTCTATTCGCTCGCTTTTTAGAGTTTGAATATGTTGCAGTAAAATGATGAGCTCTGGTTGTTTTTACATGAATACAATTTTGACAAAAAAAGTTGTGACTAATACCTTTTGTGAAACATTTTGCATTAATTTGCATTAAGCAGAATGTGTTCTTTAAATATGCTTTTTTTTTTTTTTAAAAAGCAGATTATACCAGATCTGATAATAGTATTACAGAGAGCACTTAAAAAAGGTTCTGGGTTCTGTAGAAATGTTATGAACAAATAATCCACCTGCTGTATGACAGCTTCAGTTTAGAGAAAAAATAGTTTAATTATTCACAGGTTTGACAAGATAAGGGCTTTTCTGAATGGATTTATTTGAACATGATTTTTATCAACTTTTACATAACCGTCATCCTGTTTCACATATTGAGTTCTAAGAGTCTTTGCAGCACAAATAACAGCATTTGTGATGCTGCCTTGTGCACATTTATCAAGAAATGTACTATTTTTGCTGGAACAATCTCGGAAATGAAAAACTGCAATGTAAAGGTTGAGTATATTTGTGCAAACAGCATATTTTAGATTTGAAATAATTTTGAAATAATCCATTCTTCAGTCCAACCTTGGCTTTGAAATTTGAACAGATTTAAACTTTGYTTCACCAAACTGAGGTCATGTAAAGAGCTATTTACAACAGGTAAACAAACTGTATTGATAAAACCACTTCAAATGATCTGAACTATCCCTTTAAGACTTTTGGTTTCAGAATTATTTGGTTGAGGATTTAGAAGCGATTTATTRCCTTAGTGATTTCATTTATTTGTTTTTTATTACCTTGAATGAAATACCTTTGGCTGACATGAGTCATCCAAGTTTGTTTTGCATCATAGCTTTATATCTTTCAAAAAAAAACTCTTCTTCTAAGGCAGGTTTTGAATGTTGACGTGATTGTTTACTTCTACAGAGAATTTGGCATTTAAAGTGACTCGGACATGATTTAAATTTGGCCCAAAAGAAATCAAGGATGTTTGCTTTTTCAAACTAAAAATATATATTTTCTAATGCAGCAAACACGTGTTGAGTGCAAGAGCTTAAACCGAGGATTTTTCCATGAAAGTCTATGAGTGAAAAGCACCTATGGAAAATTTCATTTGCTCCATTTGAATCAGAAGCGCATCCGTTTACAGAAACACTAWACCTCAGTGCCTCAGTGTGTGTGTTGGGGGGGTCAACGCTGGACTGAACAGCAAGCTTTTCCCTAAAGTGTTCAGTCTAAAATTCCTTTTGTTGTCTTCAGCTGTATATGTATTCATAAATATTTCACACCTTTTTTTTTCTCACACTGTCCTGGTTTGGTGCAGAGATGGGCTGAAATCTGTGAAATATCATACAGCAGCTGTTGTGCGATCCATGAACAAGCCAAAGGAGCTATTTCCTGTCAGGACTTATGCAGATTTGTCCTCCAAAAAAGTGAAAGAGACAACACAACACACGTTTTTGATGTTCCAACGGTTACGCAATGTCGGAGTTCAACTTCTAAAATTATTCTTAAAAAAATAAAAATAAACAAGCATGTAGCTCCATGTTCACGAGTCCTTGGCATCAGATGATTCATATTGCAGCACAATATATTAAAAAAAGCTAGAAGGAGTGAGAGAATTTTAACTTGATTCCCTGTTGTTCACTCGCTCCTTGCAGTTTTGAATTGCAGGTGTTCAGTCTGAAGCTCTCATCGAYGGTCAAGATCTGAGTTTTTATGCTAGTCAGAATAAATCTGCACAGGAATACTGGGAAAAGATAACATTCTAACCAGAATCATTATATGTTATAGCAAACATGATGTTTCACAGTATTTGGCTGTCTGTTTTTTGTGAGTAAAAAAATGCATCAGTTCATCTTTAAAATCTTCATCTTTTAGACTTCATTCTTACAATGCAGAATGTTTTCCAAAGAGCTGAAATATGCACCTTTCAAAACATGGCAAATCATACATCATGTCTAAGAGCATGTTCGTTAATATTCTAAGTTTTGACTTTTCAGTGATGGTTTTCCTGAAGTGATCTTTTTGCAAAACCTCAGGTGGATTTGTTGCCTGACGCTGCTGTTCTTTCGAGCTGAATCTGCCATCCTTGAGCTTGTCAGTAGCTGCCTGAATAGCGAGGCAATCTTCCTCCCTCTGCCTTGCTCCTCTTCATTGTCGCGCTGCATTCAGAACCAGAATGAGGACTTGGGAGGTCACAGATGGAGAGAAGTGTTATGTTTGTTCCTGTCTCTGCTCTCTGAGTGAATATCTCCACAGATGGGAGTRTATTGAAAGGCAAACACAAATTGGCAGCGCAGTGAAAGCGCTTTAGAAACACAAGGTCAGGCACATAGGTAACTGTACTTCTTTTTCTTTTGCTTTTAGAGGTTTTTTTTAATTTAACATAATCTGTGTGCAAGTGTATGTTGTGGCTGCTAAAGTACGCGTCCGTGACAGCATTGTACTGCATGCTGAAGATATTAGTAGGTTAATGCAATTAAACATGAGACAAAGGTTTACATGCTGGCTGCCACTTTTTTAACCTGTATGTTATACACCCCAGGTGGGTGGATAAAAAAGCTATTTTTTTCTAAATAAAAAAAACATGTCTTTATCTATATTTTTATTTATTTGATTTTGCAAATCACATATAAAGTCAATATTTCTACAGAAAACAAGTGTTCTTTTTTAGTGATAAAAACTAAAATTGTGGAAATATGTGTATGATTGCCTCAGTTTTTCAGCCATTTCTCCAACCATCATCCTCATTTGTTAAGGTACTGAAACCCTAATACCCATATAACTAGCATTATTTGAAGAAATACATATCACCTGCAGCTTATCATCTCAGTGTTTTAACCAAAAAAAATTAATCTTTTATTCTTCAGCTGGGGATTGGGGTGACTCTCAGCTAAAGCCACACCAAATTTGGACCTAATATCAACAGTTAACTGACATTTCTGTCCTGGCTAAGGTTTATTAGTTGTAGTAGCCATCTTAAACAGGGATAAATTCAAATATTCATATTCATATTCATATTCATATTCATATTCATATTCATATTATTATTATTATTATTATTATTATTATTGTTGTTGTTGTTGTTGTTGTTGTTGTTGTTGTTGTTGTTGTTGTTGTTGTTGTTTCTAATTTTTTTGACTAATGCCAACTTTATGGGAATTTAATTCAAATCTGTTAAGTAGTAGATGGTATTTTTTGCTAACAAACAGGATTGACTCTAAAAACTTGGCGTTGCTGGCCATTTTGAGCCAAGTTCATTTTAAAAATATAATTAGGAAATAATTAATTGTAGATGTAAATACAATGCTCATTTTCTGGGAGTTTCATTAAAATTTGTCCACTGATTCATGTCCATCCCACCTTTTGTCTTCCTCTTTTTGAAACCTTCATGCAACTCCAGTGATCACAAACTGCTGGCCTGCAGGCCTTCTACAGCCCTCAAAATCATTTTAGTTACCCCACAAAGTATTAAATTACTAATAAGTCAAACGCAGTCTGACACCTTAATCAGCTCCAGCGCTTGACTCAGACAATGACACATTGGTGTTAAATTCACATGGAGTCCCTGGCTGTTCAAGGTGTGAGAAGCACTGAAATGTGTGGACTTGATGAAGTCCAGCTTCAGGTGAGGTTATTTTTTCTTGAGATTTCTCTAAATTGTCCTAAGGTTTGAATGTGTGCATGGAGGGATGTCTGTCTATTTTGTCTCCCCGTGATGGACCTGTGGCCCAGTGTCCTGTCATAACGCACACATTTTCTTTGTTATCCTCCCGGTGATAATAAGACACTACATTACATTCAAAAGCAGAYATCATCTTCACAATTAAGCGTCGGGGTGCCCATTCTGAGACAAATAACATTTGACTTTTATTTGCAATTTTTCAGCCACCCAATTCATTATTCATAACTTACAGCTTATAGCTTCAGTGGGCTTCAGCTTCACTGTCACAATAGGTGAAAATGATTCTCTGAAACTGCTGCTTTTGTGGGCTGTTTGCCACAAAAACGCGCCGATAAAGTAGTGAAGCTTTGATCTTGGTCTCGGAGAGATCTCAGACAGGAAGAGATGATGCAGACGTGTAACAAGAAACTCTTCTTTGCCGGTAACAATTTGCCCTGACAGAGTTTTTGTTCTCCTTCAGTCTGTCGAAGTCACACTTACCATTTGCCGAGGCTGTTTCTGTTACTTTCACACTAAGTCGCGACTCTGGACACAGTTCGGCTGCACATGCTTTCTGTTCAGAGAGGTGAAATGTGTTTGGACCAGGCCGCCTCACATCGTGTAAATAACAGCGTAAAATGTCAAAGTTGCAAGCAGTCCTGTCACTACTGGTGGGAATTATCCCCCCCACTAACTCAGGAATGGGGGAGAAACTTGTTTGCCCTCTACAGTGTGATTAGTACTGGGTTAAACTTAACTGGAGATGTGTTTTTTCATTCAGAAATCCGTGAATTTGTCAAGGAAGTGAAGAAAACAAAAAGTATCAKTTGCATTTACAGTCCTTATCCATTATTTTATGATGTGATCAGACGGAAATAAAAACTGATTTTATTTCACATCCGAAGCTGAAGCTGACCACGTTAACTCATGCTGGCAAATTTAAAACAGGTTCTCAGACAGGGGAAAAAAAAA